AGGACTTTGGTGCGGCCCGCAGGGAGCAGGGGGGAGGGAGGATATTCTCACGGTCGGCGTGCATTTAACTACTTTGTGTGGCTTCCTGTGACGGGATTTCGGGCGGTGTGGGATTCACTCGTATAGTTGGCCAATGGAGGCAAACTGCGTGTACCAGCGTCTTTTGACAGCAGAAAGTGGGTTTTGCTAAACAGATTGCCTGTGGCGAGTACCCTTTGTGCAGGCCTTTATAGTAGTGTGTCGGTGCCGACCGCGAGGAACATACAGCCACTGCACATAACTGACTGTTTTATTCTCCATTTCCTTGTACCGGCCTGAAGATGAATGACTCGAAAACAACTGTTTGCTATTTACGACTTTTCAGACAGAAAGATATTACCTAGGAAGACGAGGGAGACCATAATGACCATTTCTGGGTTATTAACCGTCATCAGCCAGCCATACCCCACCCCCAGGTGTTGCAACACCCGAGCCTCCAACTCGCAACCCCGTTAGTTAGGAGTCGCGGGCGGAAAGAGGACACTGGGATTAATAACAAATAAGGCAACAGTAGCTTATGTAGGCCCACACCTTAATCTCTACTCCCTGCATGCTTTCCTACGAAAGCGGTGGTTATAGGCTTTTATGGATAGCAAATTAGGACACGCAGTGGAATATACTGTAATAAAAGCTAAATGCATTTTTATTTTATTGTATTTAGAAGTGTTGTTGATTTATATCTGTAGATTTTCCTAATCTGAATAATCGTTAAACTTATTGCGGAAAAACCTGATTATCAAATTGCCGGTTTCTTGAATTCCCCGAAAAATTGAAATGATAGTTAGGAGGTCATCTACTTCAACTCTTACCTGTGGTCCAACTTACCGTTCTGGAGTTAGATTAGTATAGTCCGCGGAGCGAAGCTACCTGACCAACTTACCGTTCTGGAGTTAGATTAGTATAGTCCGCGGCGTGAAGCGCCGTGCACACCTTGAATTTACATGCGTGACAACTTACTGCCAGCGGCCGCGGACAGCAACTTTGACTAAATTTTCTTCACTTTGCACTTACTTCTAAGAATTTCCTTTTCTGCCTATTTTATTTCCCCATCCCCCAAAACTCTCTGACCACCGTTTTTGCAGGACAAAATGCTGGGACTAGGTGTATATGAGTGGACCTAAATAAGCTACTTTTGCCACAAATACAGCAAACGAACCTTGCTGCCTGTGAGAGGACGCAGTTTCTTCTCCACCGCCTGCGGATCATCCTTCTCCTCGAAGTAGTAATTATTTCGAAATTTGATCAGGGGCTGCAGAGAGACGTGAAAAGACAGCTTGTATGTAGCCATTCCTGTTACAGATATGGGTCAGAAGAAGGAAGAGACAAAGGCAGGCTGTTGTACATGGATGAATACGGGGGTGGGCTGCCCATCACATGGTAGGAAAGAAAACGAATGGGGAGGGAGGTAAATGAGAGACAGCCCGCGAGGAGTACCGCTGTTAGTCCAGTTTACGGATGACCGGACGCCTCCTAACGCGTGCGAGCACGTATTAGGCTTTACAGGCGTTACACCGCATGTCGATTACGAGAACCTCGTAAGCATGGAAAACTACAAGGACAACTTAAACATCAACCAAATCGGTTGGTCGATATTCAATCACATCATACTGTAAGGTATAAGGCTCGTAATCTTACGATTTTTAGGCAGAGACTTTGCGAGACGTGTTAGCAAGCAGATGACGACTGCAGCTAGTATCTTTGCGTAAATACAGCGGAACCTCGGTTAACGAGTTTACTCCGTTCCGGCACCGAGCTCGTCGTGTGAAACGCTTGTCTTGCGAAACCTAGCCAATCAAACTGCATCAGTTTACTGATTGGCTGCAGGCCACCGATGGCCTACGCCTTAAGATCAAGACTCAACTGTGGACACAAGTAAACACACGCACTGACAACTCGTTAACTGAGCGAAAGCTCGTCAATCGAAACAATTTTTCCGCTACTGGCTCTCTCGTTACCTGGCATTCTCGCAGGTGGGGCTGCTCTTCACCCGAGGCTCTAATGTATAAGGCTATAATTGAGCAGAATAAAGGGACTGGGTTCATATTTGTGGTAAATTTTATCAGTAAGGGCCTGAGAAAGACAATCTGTGCGGCGAAATAGCAACGACAAGTCAAGAACAAAGTAGTTTTGGAAAAGAAAATCAATAGAACATGCGAGCCCCGGAAGTGATTGAGAAGAAACATTTGGAGTCGTCTATAGGATCTGGTGCAGATGTGGACAAAGCAACTACGTCGGAGAAACTGGAGGAATTCTCAAGACGCGAATTGCCAAACACGCGGCAGCAGTGCGGAGAGATGACCTCAATTCTCAAACTGCGGCTCATTCGATGAGACCCGACCACATATTCAAATTTGATGGGACCGAAATTCTTGCGAGAGGTGATAATTGTGTGAGCCGCGAATTAATTGAGTCATGGTTCATTGGCCCCCAGTCTATAAACAGGTTCCACGACCTGCCCAATCCATATTCGGTACAGTAGTCGT